TCCATGGGCATGGGAGGTCCTTCCATGTTCTGATGTCTTCCTCAATCTCTTTCTTTAAGGATTTAAAATTTTCATTGTAGAAGTCTTTAATATCTTTGGTCAGGTTTATTCCAAGATATTTTATTTTTATGTAGCTATTGTGAAGGGTAGTGTTTCCATGTGCTCTTTCTCTGATTGATTGTTATGGGTATGTAGAAAGGCTATACACCTTTGTAGGTTAATTTTGTAACCTGCCACTTTACTGAATGTGTTAAAAATTTCTAGGAGTTTTCAGGTGGAATTTTTGGCATCCCTTAGATATAATATCATATCATCTGCAAAAAGGGATAATTTGATCTCTTCTTTTCTGATTATTACTCCTTTAATTTCATTCTCTTGTCTTATTGCTCTTGCAAGTGTTTCAAGTACTATGTTAAAGAAAAGAGGGGATAGTGGACAACCTTGTCTAGATCCTGATTTCAATGGAAATTCTTCCAGTTTTTCTCCATTTAGAATGACATTGGCTGTGGGTTTGTTATAATAATTAAACATAATTAAAGGTTTTCAAATTTAGTAGCATATAGGTTTTTAAATTATTCCCTTATAATGTTCTGTATCTTTCTGGTGTCTGTTGTGATGTTTCCCCTTTCATCTCTGATTTTGTTAATTTGGAGGTGCTCTTTACAAATGTCGAGAGCTCATCTCTCTCCGTTGTATTTTGGCTATTGAGTATTGTCCTCAGCCTAAAGAATCACATGGCTTGTTTCAGTGAATGGTCTGATATTTATTTTTCTGATTCCTGTGACTAGACAAGAAGCAACTTAAGAAAGGAAGGGTTGATTTTGGCTCATGGTTTGAGGGTACAGTCCTTCATCTCAAGGAAAGTGAGCAGCAGGAGCAACTCAGGGCTGCCACAGGAGGAACATGGTCTACTTCTTCATGTCTGGGTGGATTAGGAAGCTAGAACCGCTTTCAGCGTGTCCCCAAGGTTTTGTCATGTTGTATTGTCCTTTTCATTTAATTCCAGGATACTTTTATTTCTTTCTTAATTTCTCTTTTGACCCATTCATCATTCAGGAGTGTTTTGTTTAATCTCCATGTGTTAATGTGGTGATTAGGGCTTCTTCGGGGCTTGATTGTAAGCTTTATTGCATTGTGGTCTGATAGAATGAATGGAATTATTTCAATCTTTTTGTATTTGTTGAGGTTTGTTTTGTGCCACAGTATATGGTCTATTTTGGAGAAGGTTCCATGGGGTGCTGTGTAAAAAGCACATGTAAAAAGCATGTTCTTTGGTGCTTGGGTTGAATACTGCATAGATGTCTTTTAAGTCCATTTGATATACAGAATTGTTTAATTCTGATGACTGTCGGTTAACTCTCTGCCTTGTTGACCTATCTAATGGAGACAGTGGGATATCAAAGTCACCTACTATTAATGAGTTGGGGTTAATCAGGTTCTCAAAGTCCTGTAGTATTTTTTTAATGAACTTGTGTGCACCAGAGTTTGGTGAATATATGTTCATGATTGTAATATCTTCTTGATTCGTTGTTCCTTTGATCAAAATGAAGTGGCCCTCTTTGTCTCTTCTGATTAATTTTAGTTGAAAGTCTATTTTGTCAGATATTAGAATTGCTACACCTGCTTTTTTCTTAGTGTCATTTGCTTGGTATATTTTTTTCCATCCTTTCACTTTGAGATAGTGTCTGTCCTTGGAAGTGAGATGAGTTTCTTGCAGACAACAAAAAGATGGGTTTTGTTTCTTAATCCATTCATATAGTCTGTGTCTTTTGACTGGGGAGTTCAGTCCATTAATGTTTAAAGTTATTAATGCTAAAGACAGTGACAGAAAACCTCTGCATAATAGGACCTTGGAAGCATCTGAACAGAATGACACCATCAAGGATAAGCCAGGAGCTACATAGATCAGTGCTTACATTAAAGTCATTTATTTTTCTAGTGCATAGCCTGGTGTCTGCCAGTGTGTGGCAAGCCTACAGACAAGATGATTGGCACATCAGGCCATACTCTAAGCCAATCACAAATCAGAAGCAGAAGTCTCAAGACACTTTTGTACAGATAATGCCAAGGCTTGCCAGGAAGAGGAACGATAATTACTGCAGCCTATGTGACAGCCGGTTAACAGCTGCCTCTGGATTTCCACGGATTGTGTGAAGTGTTTTTACTATAGCCTTTGGTCTCATATCAAACACCAGGCAAGCAAAAGTCCCCTGATACTGGGAATGTCTTATTTCCTTCCAGACAAGCAAAATTTTCATATTACGCTAAGATTTTTGAGCAGCAGCTACAAATATTCACTTAATGGAATGATACAAAGAAATAGTCACTTAATGGAATGATAACAACAACAAATACTTAATGTAATGAGAACACACACAGGTCTGTGCTCTCCCAGTCTTAACCTGTGTGAAAACAAAAGGCAGAGTCTTACTGTGGGAAAAGAAAGAAAATCTAAAAAGCAAAACATGTTTTCTATAAAAAAAAATTACAAATGGGCTGGAGAGACGGCTCAGTGTTTAAGAGCATTAACTGCTCTTGCAGAGGATGCAGGTTCAGTTCCCAGCACCTACATGGTGGATCATAACTGCCTGTAACTCCAACTCCAAGAGTTATGATGCCTTCTGACCTCCACGGGCTCCCGCATGCCTATGATACACATAACGTCATGTAGGTAAACATACATACATACACATAAAATAAATCTTTTAAAAATTACGTAGAGAAAATGTAAAGATCCTACAGAGAATTCAGTAACAGTGAGCTGAGGATGATGATGTAGACTCCCAGGAATTTGAAAGAAAAGACGTTACATCCACAGTTTAATTAGAACCATAATAACACACAAAAGAGATGAAACGGTCATGTACATTCAGAAGCAAATCTCTCTGAAGCAGTCGCTCCCACACACTGGTGTGTGCGACATGAGACCACTGTTTTGAAGGGAACTTGGTGCTGAAGGCAAGAGAATCCACAAGCTTGTCCTTGGTTCTCACGTTGCCCTCCAGAGGACCTGGTACCTACAGACACAGTCTGGTCCTGGGAGACACTCAAAGCAGCTGCCAGTTTGAAATTAGTAGCCCAGAAGCTGAGCAGTTATTGATTTGGGAAGAATCATAGGATAAAAAATAGCATTTGGAGCTGGGCGTGGTGTCCCATGGCTTTAATCCCAGCACTGGGGAGGCAGAGGCAGGCAGATCTTTGTGAGTTCCAGGCCAGCCTGGTCTACATAGTGAGTTCCAGGACAGCTGGGGCTACATGGAGACCCTGTCTCAAAAAGGCAAAAAAAAAAAAATAGCATTTGGGATGTGACAAGGAGGGCCACCCTCTGGTTTGCAGTTAGAACTTCAGAGTAGTGAAGTAAGACTGTGTTCAAAGTAGACCTGCCTAGTGTCAAACCACTTCAAACTCCAGTTCAATCATAGTGATGTGAGCTTTTCTCTTTCAACTTATATGTCTAACAGTACCAGAAAATATATTCTCTCTTGACTGGTACAACACTATATAATCACCTTAAATGATCTTTTCAGGTTTTCATTAATATTAGAAACTAAATCAACACTAACAACATGCACAGCAACAAATAAACACAAAAAATAAAAGTTGACCAAACAAAGGTCAAAAATGGATACCAGAAACAAGCTTAAGAGATGCCATATTGTGGGTTTCTTAGAAGGATTTCTAATACTCATTGAATAAATTACAGGAAGAATTTTGTGACAAATTAAGAATTTTAGCCCAGATTTGCACACTAGAAGTAAAAGAATCAAAAGCAAAAAAGTTCAATTACAAAGTTCTAGCAAAAAAAAAGTCCAATAACAAATTATCATTTTAGTAAATTGGTTTACACTATATTGGATATAGATGAGAGAATTATTATACTGGAATCATTTTAGAAAAAATATCCAGTTTGGATTATACAGAACAAGGGGTTTTAGAAAAGTATAGCTTATAAACAGGTAAAATTTAAAAGAAATCTAGGGCCGGTGTGATGGACCAGCAGGTAAAGTTACTTGCTACCGAATGTGAAGACCCAAGTTTGAGCCTTGGGACACACATGGTGGACTCCCACAAGTTGTCCTCTGATCTCCACACATAACCTGCATCCACACACACACACACACACACACACACAGACACACACAGACAGACACACACAGAGATAGACACATGCACAGACACACACAGACACAAATGTTAGAATTGTAAAAGGAAATGTCACTATTTACAGTTGTGCTTACTGAAGAAGAGGGATGACTGAACGAGAAGCAGTATAGTTGGAATACTCACCAACAGCAGAGAGTTCCCCTCATGCTCCTGAAAGCTGTCAGACCAGAGATTCAGTGAACATTACTGGCTCATCGCCACATGAAAGACAGAAGCAAGCCAGCCAGCCTAGGTACATTTTTAAAACACTTCTAAAACAGAATCTATAAAGAAAAGTGAAAGGTGTTGATTTAAAGATGGGCACTCATTGGCTGGCAGGTGGCTTCTCAACACAAAAAGTAGAAGACAAGAGACATTGAAAGAAATTGCTGATGATGGCAGTGGAACTAAAATTGGAGATGAAGTGGACTGCAGGTCTGTCCACTAATTGTGTAATCATAAGTTGTGCGTATTAGTTTTGCTTGGCTGCCATAATAACACCATGACCTAACAGAAATAGAAATAAGGCCTGGTTTTATTTACAACAGTTTAAATCTTTTAATTACATTTATTACATATTATAATTATATATTGTCATATTGTGTGTGTGTGTGCTCTGTACGATGGCATGGGTGTGGAAGTCAGAGGGAAGCTTTGAGGAGTCAGTTCTCTCTGGCACATGGGTCTTGGGGCTTGAGTTTGGGTCACCAAGCTTGGCAACAAGCACCTTTACCCACTGAGCCATCTTGCTGGGCCTTACTACAGTTTTATACGTCAGAAGTCTGGGTCGACTTCGCTGTTTTTTTTCTTAGGGTTTCACAAGGCCACAGTGAAGAGTTGGAGAAATGAACTCTATTCTGAGGCTCTGGGAGATAATCTGGTCCCAACAGTTTTCAGATGTAGGCCAGATTCAATTCCTGCGGTTTAGGATTGAGGGCCCCATTTTCCTGGCTGACTGCCATCGTGGAAGCTCCATAGCACCAGGAAGCCTGTCCCCAGTGCTTGCACACGGCCCCATGGTCACAGTGATATGTGTGCTTCATCCCTTCCACTGCACTGACTTCTGCTCCAATTGGAGTCAATTCTCTAATTGCAGGGCCTCATTGAATTAGCAGTTAGTGGCCTATTGAATTCAGTAAGAAAACCTCTCTATCTTAGTTTCTACAACTTTATTATATCTGAAAAGCCATGTTTGCTATTAATGTAACATATTCACAGGACCTCACAGCCTAATTATCATATAGGAAAAACCTGGTAGTTTCTATGCCAGAGGTCATGTTTCTGGTAGGGCATCTGTGGCGGCCACTTCAAAGTGAGCCAGGAGGAGAGCAGGAGGTGCCCTGCTGGAAAGAGAAGTCTCTGCATCAAATGCCAAGCCCCTTAGGGTCTCTGCGACCCAAACAGCAGGGGTCCCCAACAGGACCTGACTGAGATGAGTGATGAATCCCTCTGAAGTCATTCTGCCTTCTCCACTCATCTCAACACAGCTAACATAGGACTGAACAAAGAAGGGAGTTAGGCAGCAAAATCACACAGTATGAAGCAGTGTACACTGAAGTTGTTCGTCATAGGCCCAGGACAGATGGCCGGACCAACACAACAGTGGAAAGCCTCTCAATACTCAGAGCCTTGTTGCCTAGCAGGAAAGCATTAAAAATCCATGGGTTAGATTATGGACAGTGTCACAAACATAACTAAGAAAGTTAGCTCTCTCTCATACATGCACAGCCCCTTCTTTATTTTTCAAAATTATCTTATTTTGATATTTGAATATCTGAAGTATGTAATTGCTAATATTTGTCCAGTGCTTTCTAAGTAATATTTTTAGAGAATTTCATGAAAACAATGCATTTGAGCATATATTGACCCCATTAACCCCCTACTCTTCATGAACCCCCATATCTGTGAACCTCCCAATTTCATGTCCTCTGTTTTCTTTTTCACATAGCAATGAGTCCACTTGGTGCCGCTCCTACGTGAATGGCTGTGCGTGTGACTGGAGCATGGAGAACTTACCAGTGATCAAATCCCCTAAAGAAAAATGGCTTCCCCTCCTCCAGCAGCTGTTGGCTGCCAGTAGCGCCTCATAGGAGTGGGACCACTGGAGGCCTTCTCCATCCATGCTGGAACTTTGACTTTAGTTAGGATAGTTCAACTTAGAAGGTTTTCAACTCTACAATGGTGCAACACACAGTTAACAGAAAGTGCCCTTGGAATTTTGACCTTTTCCTGGCCAGCAGTGGGCTTGCTGTGTGCCCAGTGGTGCAAGGTGCAGCTTCATGCAGCCCTGCTACTGTGGAGGCAAACAGTGAGCTCTACAGGGTGGTGTGGGGTTCAGTAGGGTGGAGGTCTGCTGGATGTGTTTTTAGTTTACGTTTCCAACTTACAAGGGACTGTTGGGGGTAAGCCCATCAGAAGTTGAGGTACTGTGGATACAGACAGATAGGTAGGTAGATAGATAAATGATTGATAGATAATAAAAACTGAGCTCGGAATACCTTGAGCTGGGAATACCTTGAGATGGCAATGCTGGGACCTGAGAATACCTTGAGCTTTAAATACCTTGAGTTAGTAATACCGGGATATGGAAATATCATGAGCTGGGAATACCATGAAGTAGGAATATTATGAGCCAGGAGTACCATGAATTGGGAATACTTTGGCTGTGAGCATCATGGGCTGACAATAAGGTAAGTTGGGAATACCAGGAGTGGTGAATACCTTGAGCTGTGAATAACTGAGCTGTCAATACCTTGAGCTGTCAATACCTTGATCTGGAATGCCTTGAACTGTGAAAAGCAGGAACTGGGAATGCTTTGAACTGGGAATGCCTTCAGCTGTGAATACTGGAGCTGTGAACACCTTTTAATGCTTAGAATCCATAACATAGGTGAGGTCTAGAGGAATAGAAAATAAATCAAGCATAGAATAATATGCAAATCAACAATTATAAATCACCTCATCTTGGTTTAGGGTAGATTTTTGCTGAAATTATGCTTTTAAAAGTTGTATTTTAGAAGTCAGAGAGATGGTTCAGATAGGTAAAATATTTCCTATGCAAACACGAGGACTAAAGTTCTGATCCCTAGAAACTGCGTAAAAGCTGATTAGACATGGCAGCTGCCTGTAATCCCAGTGAGATCCCCAGGACCAGCCAGCCTGCTGGACTAGATGAATTCACAAGCTCTGGGTTTAGCAAGAGACCCTGCCTTGACATACAAGGTGGACAGGGACAGAGGAAGGTAGCCAGCATCAACCCCAGGGTGACACACATGCACTCATCAGCACCTTGCACCTCACACATGTGTGCACCCACACACATGTGAATGCACGAACACATACACAAATGCCATATACACATACATAGACATGAAAACATTTTTAGTTTTCCTGAATTTTGTTTGAATTTGGAGCTATAGTAAGAAATTATAAAGGAACAGAGCTAAGGAGCAATAGAAGGATGCAAATGTGTTTTGTCAAGAGTTGATACATAAGCACCATGGGTTATTGTTATTGGTCAAGATACATTACATTTTTATGATGCTATTCCTAACACCACAGTGGTTTCATGACCTCCTAGTGGGTTGCACATAACACTCTGAAAAATGCAGACATGTAAATGACCAACCCTGGAACAGACTATGTTCTCAACGTAAACTAGAAGTAAAACTCCACCATTGGTAGGTACGGATAGTGTCACGTCAAAATTCTTTTAAATTCACAGTGGTTATTGATCCTCACGTCACTTTGCTGGAAATGAAGTATGTGGTTTAACTTTTTCCTGATCTCCTTTTAAAATCTATTTCATTTTATGTGTCTGTGTGTCTGCATGCACACACGTGAGTGCCTGATGCCCACAGAAGCCAGAAGAGGGTGTCAGATCCCCTAGGACTGGAATTATGGGTGGTTTGAGCCAACTGATGTAGGTGCTGGAAACTGAACCCAAGTCCTCTGCAGGAGCAGTCAGCGCTCAATGACTGAGTCGTGTCTTCAGCCCCTTGATCACCGTTTGCCCATTTCATGTCACAGTGTTTGTGTTGGATAGTGGGACACTGAGAGAATCCCAATCTTATCTTTTTCCCATGATACCCTGATACCTAAGCACACTTTAGGATTTCTTTGTTTATGTGAAATGGTGAGGTTCTGATAAAAATCAGAACTGAGGTCTATGCATGTTTGTTAGGCTTTAACATACATGACTTGTATGTAGAACATGTCCAAGAGAGTACATAGCTTAGTATTTATTTTTCAAGGTTTTGCTTTTTATTTCTCTTTTGAGACAGTCTCTGTAGCCCTGGCTAGCTTGGAACATGCAACAGACACTAGGCTGTCCTTGAACTTGCCCATCTCCTGCCTCTGTGCCTCAAGTGCTGAGATTACAGGAATGCACCACATTAAGTTTGTATTGTGAGCCCAAGCTCTTTCTATCCATATCACTTAAGCATCTACACATTTTGTTTTCTCGTTCTCTTGGAGATATTAAAATAGCTGAGGTGAACGTCAAGGGATTATTTGTGAGACTTGTTAACTCATCCACTGAAAAAGAAATGGAGATTGGAGATCTCATTCTCCAGCAGAATGTGGAAAGACGTCCAGTTTCGTTGTACCATTTCCTCCCCAACATCACAATGCAGGCCAAGTCCATGGTGATGGTAACTATTATCTGGGAACACCATGAGCTGAGAAGATGGTGACTTGGGAATATTTTGAGCTGGAATACCAGGAAGGAGCTGTGAATACCAGGAGATGGGAATACCTGGAGATGGAAATACTGTGAGCTTGGAATACCGTGAACTAGGAATATCATAAACCAGGAGCACCGTGAGTTGGGAATACCTTGGGCTGTGAGCATCATGGGCTGACAATAAGATAAGTTGGGAATACCAGGAGCTGTAAATACCTTGATATGCGAATGCCTTAAGCTGTGAATACCTTGAGCTGTGAACAACTTGAGATGGGAATACCAGGAGCTGAGAATACCTTGAGCTCTAAAGGTCTTGAGTTGTGAATACCTTGGGCCATGAGTATCATGGGCTGACAATAAGGTAAGTAGGGAATACCAGGAGTTGTGAATACCTTGAGCTGTGAACACATTGAGCTGTAAATACCTTGAGCTCCAAATACCTTGAGCAGGGAACACCTAGGGCTGGGAATGCCTTGACTGTGAATGCCTTGAGCTGGGAATACCTTGAGCTGCAAATACCTTGAGTTAGGAATACAGGATATGGATGCTGGCAATACTGTAAACTAGGAATATCATGAGCCAGGAATACCGTGAGTTGGGAATACCTTGGGCTGTGAGCATCATGGGCTGACAATAAGATAAGTTGGGAATACCAGGAGCTGTAATACATTGAGATATGAATGCTTAAGCTGTAAATACCTTGAGGTGTGAATACTTGAGCTGAGAATGCCTTGAGCTGTAAATAGCCTGAGCTGTGAATACCTTGAGCTGGGAATACCCTGAGCTGGAATTCCATGAATTGTGAATACCAGGAACTGGGAATTCCTTGAGGTGTGAATACATGAGGTGGGAATGCCTTCAGCTGAAAATAGCTTGAGCTGTAAATAGCTTGAGCTGTAAATACCTTGAGCTGGCCTGCCTTGAAATGTGAATATCAGGAACTGTAATGCCTTGAGCTGTGAATACTTGAACTGAGAATGCATGAGCTGTGAATACTGGAGCTGTGAATACATTGAGCTGGGAATACTTGAGCTGGGAATACTTGAGCTGTGAATACTTTGAGCTGTGAGTACCTTGAGCCATGAATACTTTGAGCTGTGAATACCTTTGGCTGGGCATGCCTTGAGCAGAAAATCCCTTGAGCTGTAAATAAATTGAGCTATGAATACCTTGAGCTGTGAACACCTTGAGCTGTGAGAACCTTGAGATGGGAATACCAGGAGCTAAGAAGACAGTGAGCTGTAAATACCTTGAGCTGGAATGCCTTGAATTGTGAATACCAGGAACAGGGAATGCCTTGAGCAGTGAATGCTTGAGCTGAGAATGCCGTGAGCTGTGAACACCTATAGCTGTGATAAACTTGTGACAGGGCTATCAAGAGCTGAGAATAACTTGAGATTTAAATACCTTGAGCTAGAATGCCTTCAGTTGTCAATACCAGGAACTGGGATGCCTTGAGCTGTGAATACTGGAGCTGTGAATACCTTGAGCTGTGAATACTGGAGCTGTGAATACCTTGAGCTGTGAATACTGGAGCTGTGAATACCTTGAGCTGTGAATACTGGAGCTGTGAATACCTTGAGCTGTGAATACTGGAGCTGTGAATACCTTGAGCTGTGAATACTGGAGCTGTGAATACCTTGAGCTGTGAATACTGGAGCTGTGAATACCTTGAGCTGTGAATACTGGAGCTGTGAATACCTTGAGCTGTGAATACTGGAGCTGTGAATACCTTGAGCTGTGAATACTGGAGCTGTGAATACCTTGAGCTGTGAATACTGGAGCTGTGAATACCTTGAGCTGTGAATACTGGAGCTGTGAATACCTTGAGCTGTGAATACTGGAGCTGTGAACACCTTAAGCTGGGAACAGTAGTAGCTGGGACAACTTGAGCTTCAAATACCTTGAGTTAAGAATACCAGAATACAGAAATACCATGAGCTGGCAATACGTTGAACTAGGAAAATCATGAGCCAGGAGTACCATGAGTTGGGAATACCTTGGGCTGCAAGCATCGTGGGTGACAATAAGGTGAGTTGGGACTACCAGGAGCTGTAAATACAGGACCTGGGAATACCAAAAATCTCAATATAACTTCACTAGGAACATTGGGAGCCAAGATTAAGGTGAGTTCGAAAGAACACAGTGGGCTGAGCATGTGGTGAATTGAAAATCCCTAATGTGAGCTGTGATAACCAGAAGGTGGGAATGCTGTGAGCTGGGAATACTAGGAACTGGTGACACCTTGAGCTGAAAATGTGGTGAACTGTGAATATTGTGAGCTTGGAGAACCTTGAGCTGAGAATGAGGTGAGTTGGGAAATCCAGGAGCCTTGAATAGCTTGAGCTAGAAGCTTCAGGAGCTGAGAATAAGGTAAGCTGGGAATAGTGTGAGATGGAAATACCAGACGCTGGGATTAACTTGATCTGAGAATACCTGGAGCTGGAAACACTGTCACCTGGGAAAGGTGAGCTGGGGATACCATGACCCAGGAGTACCCGGAGCTGGGGGTGCCATGAGCTGCGATTTCTCTCAGCCAGAAATGTCATGATCTGGAAACTCAATGAGATGTGACTATTTTGAGCTGTTAATACCAGTGCTCAGGGACACTGGGCTGTGAAAAACAGGATCTTGTATCAAAAGAGTCTGAGAATACCAGTAACTGGGAATATTGTGACTTGGGAATACCATGAGCTGCAGCTACCAGGAGCTTGAAACACCAGGAGCTCAGAATACTGGAATCTGGGCATACCGAAAACAGGAATATTATGAGCTGGGAATTCCATGAGGTAGGAACTACACGAGCTGCACATAAGGTGAGTTGGGAATACTCTGAGCTGGGAACAGGTGACCTGAAAATAAGGGGAGTTGGGAATACTTAACATCAGCTAGAGATAACCAGAAGCTGGGAATACCGTGAGTGTAGAATACACAAAGATAGGAACACCCTGATCTGGGAATAGAAGGTGATGGGAAGACCAGTGTTCAGAATGCCTGGAGCTGGGAATACCATGATCAGGGAATAGCAGGAGCTGTGAATACCTTGAACCTGGAATACCTTGAGATGGGAACATTGTGAGATGAGAGTTATGAGGGAACACCATGGACTAGGATGCCATGAGCTTAGATATCAAGAGCTGGAAAGAGCACAGCAGGAGCCAGAAAAAACAAGATCTGGGATTATGTGAGCAGAGCTAGGACCAGGAGCTGGGAATTCAAGAGCTAGGAATACCATGAACTAGAAATAACAGGATCTGGGGACACCAAGAGCAGGGAGTAGCAGGAGCTGGGCACACCAGGACCTCAGTGTACCAGGAGCTGGGGCACACCAGGACCTCAGTGTACCAGGAGCTGGGCACACCAGGAGCTCAGTGTACCAGGAGCTGGGTGCACCAGGAGCTGGAAACTCCCAGAGTCAGGAATACAATGAGCTGTGAATAACATGAGTTGGAAATTCATCGATGTGATTATCTTGACCTGGAGTGTCATGGGCAGAGAATTAGGTGATATGCAGACCAGGAGCTGGGAGGCCCATGCGCTGGGATACCATTAGATCTGAGTGCCATGAGATGTGGATAAGAAGAGTTCGAAATGCAGTGGGTTGGGAACATTGTGAGCTGAGAATAAAGTGTTATGAATCCGTAATGTGAGCTGGGAAAACCAGAGCTGGGAATGACATGACTGGGAACATCGTGAGCTGGAAATGCCAACCCAGTGAGCTGGGAATATTATGAACCAGGAATCAGACCTGGGAAAAACCATGAGCGGGGAATGTCATGAGCTGGGAATACTTTGAAAATACCAGCAGCTAAGAATAGGAGGAGTTGGGAACACCAGGAACTAGAAACATCGTGAGCTGGAAATGACAGCATCAGAGAGAATTATGACCTGGAAATACCTTGAGCAGAGAACTTCCTGAGTTGAGACTAAGGTGAGTTGGGAATTCCATGCACTGAGAATACCATGTGCAGGGAACATTATTATCTGGAAACAGCATGAGTTAGGAATGTCGTGAGCTTAGAATACCAAGAGATAGGATTACCCGGAGCTGGGAATACTGGGAGCTGGAAATACTGGGAGCTGGGAGTGCCATGAGATAGGATTATCAACAGCTGGAAACAACAGGAGGTAGGAATACTAGTGTTGTACCTCATCCACTAGACCCCAAAAAGATCACCAAAGACCCAACACACCAAAATGCAAAAGCAAAGGTTCATGGTTTATTCAGGCTTAAGCTCGGGCTCTCAGACCTCACCAAGTCAACGGATCCATGCTGAGAGCCCAGAGTAAGGGAGAGTGGAGCCTTTTATAGGTTTTAGACAAAGGGAGGGGGATACCAAAGATACACTTTGGTTGGTTCAAGGAGCCCGCATGCGCCAACATAATTTTAAACCAATTGGATGTATAAGATGCAGCCCTGGAAGTTTCTTATTGGTAGGTGCTATTCTCAGGGCTGTGGAATGTGCTGACTGTTACCTGTGGGGCCAGGAGTCTCCATTTTTACCTTAAAGGGCAGGAAGTTTCTTATTGGTAGGTGCTATTCTCAGGGCTGTGGAATGTGCTGTTACCTGTGGGGCCAGGAGTCTCTTTTTTTACCTTATAGGGCAGTTTTTATGCTCGGACTTGGTTAATATATAGTTTCCTGGAAGGAGGGGTATAGCAGGCAGGAGTCAGGGTTGACAGGGTGTGTTTAGGCATGTCTAAAGCAGCAGCCAAGCATTTTACAGAAGCTAAAAGAGCAATTAGTGGGGGTCTGGAGGGATTGGGGGTAGCAGCGGGTGAATGAAGACGAGTCTCAGGATCCTACATTCCCCCCTTGTCTTGTAACTGGGGAACCCAATCATGGGTTCTGGTCGGCCAGCTCACAGGTATCTGGGGGGATCATGCTAAGGGGCATATAGACTTGTTGCCTCTGAACCATAGGTTGGATGGTGCCTAACCTGTCCTTCATGAACTGTGCTAATCTGT